TACCTAAAACGGGGCCTGGTGCAATGGCCTGCCGTTTCTTTTGCACCATAAACGGCATATATATAATGAATATATAAGAGTTGTGACCTATTTTGTTGGCTTATTCCGCACCTTCAGTGCAAAGTTCTCTCTAAATTATTATGACAGGGTGAGCTACTTCTAACGTTACTTCGGTTTATTTGCTATTACATTTTTCCACACTTCAATACGAGTATGTATATATGTACGTAGATACAGATACATGTTTGCGTAGATACTTCCTAGCAATGGAGGTATCTCAACTTTTACTCTCCGCTTTTGACAAAATTAATGTCAGGCCATCGTAAATTTAATTAATATGAAATTTTAAAATGACACAATCTGCAACTGGGCATTTGATGAAAATATTTCTATCAAACGTGCCCAGCTTGATAGAAATATTTTCATCAATAGAGGAGAAAACTTATCCCAACTTTGGGGAATTTTACACCTTCCAAATTCGCAGCGCATTTTTCCGCCTTTGAATGAAAATATATGGGTATATCTATGTATCTCCACTAAACCTGAGGTTTTATATATTGTATCAGTTGCAAATTTCATATTAATTAAATATGTGACACTAGTTTTGCCTAAATGTGCGAGGATATGTTGGGAGACCTCCCGTGTCAGTTCGAAAAAAACTTTCACGATTAAGGAATACATTTTGTATTTTATAAATAAGATAATAGTTATGCAGGGAATTTCTTCTCCAAGGTATGCGCACTACCGCAATGGGACACTAATTCCGAAAAGAAGATAAACTTCCTCCCGCAGAAGTAGCAATGGTGTCGATTCGTAATTCTGTGACGTCTTTTGTGCAGGGCTAAATTGTACTTCGAGTGACTCCTGTACTCGCATTTGTCGCAGGAATGAATTCTTCTCTTTGCTCGCGGGGTGTACGGATTCCACGTGGCGGGTCAAATCCATCGATGCCGGGAATCTTTTGTCGCAAAATGTGCAGTGGTAATTCTTCCGATCTTTATGAACAATCCGGTCATGCATATGCATGCCTACTCTAGTAAAGAACGTCTTCGGACAAAGTTTACACTTAGAAATCTCTCGTGCAGATTTCTCCACGTGTATCGCCTGGAAAACAAATGTACAATTACAGTTTAGAAAGTTATTAAAGGTGAAGGAAAATCTTCAACACATGACTTACATAAGTGATTGGCATGTGCCTTCAAAAATAATTTGCATGTTTTTAGTAATCATGGCAATTCTAAAATTTTTCAGTCTACGAGTTACTGCATTTGCCGTAAAATCTCAAATTGTACATTTTACAAGGTCAGATCTTGAATCCAAACCCAGCACATTTAATCATTTTCTGCAAAATATGTGCATCTTGCCTCCGTTGAATATATTTACCTCGTGTGCTTTCAAGCCCGAGTTAAGTGCGAAACTCTTCCCACAAGTGGCACACTTGAAGGGCTTCTCGGTCGTGTGAGTTCCAATGTGAAACCCAAGCTTTGAACTGCATTTAAATTCTTTTCCACAAAGTGTGCACGGAAATCGGACCGGATTTTCGGCATGTTCAATTCTTACATGTCGCAAAAGATGGGGATGATTTAGGTAGGTTTTCTCGCAGCGGGGAAATGCGCAATGGAAAACGAGGTCGTTCCGCCGATGCGTGCACGGAGCCCATGTGCTTCAATAAAATTCGGGAATCATAAAACGTCCCATGACAAATATGGCACATGAGGCGTTCCCGGTAGGTGTGAACCCTTGTCATGTGAGCAGTCAAGGCGGTCGGACTTTTCGAAAATTTCCCGCAAATCTAGGTAATTTATATCTTTGGATGGTAGAATTTTTGAAGTTCTGAATTTTAAGGAGCCACTCGTACCTCGCATTTCGTTTTCGCATCGGGATCGTGAGTGACCACGTGTCCGTTGAGGGATTGCTTGTTTGCAAACCTTTTTGAGCACTAGGGACATTCCCATTTCTTCAATGGGTTAAGGTCCATCTGGACTTCGTTGTGGCAAATCAATATATTGAGTCAAAACTTTCACTCGGAAGAAATGTTTTGGATTTACCTAAATCAAAATCCCGTACTTGGTCGTGTCCAACGCTATTTTATAACCAACTCCATTCGAGTTGTAAGAGTGAGTGGTGCATATTCTGAAAAGTAGGTTGGTTTTTAGACCTGATTTCTCTACGTATGTAAATATGTATGTAGGTCGGGGTTGGTTCACTTTGCCTTTTTTTGTAAAAATAGTTAGCCAGGATGCAATAAATTGTGGCATTCACTTTCGTATAGACTTTGCCTTTACTCCAGTCGGTGAAGTGCTTTCCTTACGCTAAAATTTGTTTATATACACGAAGGATTTGGACCCTTCCTCTGCCACCAACTTCAATTCCATCAATCACTTCGGTTAGTTATATTTACATACATATGTAGGGTATTTATGCATGGTTAATATAGAATCTAGAGCTCATTTACTTTCTTAAAGGGTAACCAAGCGGCATGTCTCACTGTAAATTTGAGAAAATAATATAATCCCAGATGACGGAATGCTGGGGCCAAGCACCCTGTCTTTGCTTTGGTTTTGAGCGAACAAGTTGTGTCTCAAATGGAGCGACGGTGGTGCACATACCCATCTGTGTATTAAATTGCTCGAGACAACAACCCGTGGCGCTGGTGTGCAATACACCAGTGTATTATTTAGCTTGGTTGAGAAGCACGCCGGGCGCTCATAATGTGACTAATATCGCTCGTCCAGTACGCCTTCTAGATATTATAGTATAGTTCTGTGGGTGGGGCATATGTACGTAAATAAGTATGTGTAGCGGGTATCTTATTCCTTGATATCCTATTTTTCACGATTTTGGAGGACATTTTTTAAACAACGATTTATTGATAGCTTTCGGATCTTCTTGATCCTTCTTCAGTGAATAGATTTCATACAATTTTTTGCGTAATGTACAAATGCAAATGACTTTGTCTTAATGATGGAAAATTATTACTCATAATTTGCTAAGTGACCGGATCAAATTAAAAAAAAAGTTTATTCCATAAGAGTGGCATTATTTTTCAGAGTGTACAATATTGTACAAATTATGTCTTCTCCAAGGTGTGAATTGAACCGCAGTGGTTCACCAAGGACTGAAAAACTACAAATTTCCTCGCACAAAAGTAACATTCATGCCTCTTGGCAACGTGTCGTGCTCTGTGCTTGGCTAAATTGTACTTCGAGTGACTCCTGTACTCACACTTATCACAAGTATTAATCTTCTCTCCGTTCGCGGGGTGTACTTCCTCCACGTGGCGGGTCAAACTATTCAATGTCGAGAAGTTTTTGCCACAAAAAGTGCAACAATTAGATATTCTCCTGATTATCATGAACAAAACGAAAATGCCCTTGTAAACCAAAAGTGGTAAAGAAAGTCAGCGGACAAAGTTTGCACTTCAGAGTTTCTCTTGCAGATTTTTCCAAATGGGTCACCTGTAAGATAAATATACTGAAATTTAGAATCTTTCCTCCATTTTTTAAATAACTTCTTTATATTTACTTCGTGTCGCTTCAGGTGGTCCATTTGTGCAAAATTCTTCGCACATATCGCACAATTTAGCGTCTTCTCGGTTGTGTGGGAGGAAATGTGACGCTCAAGGTGTGTCCTGCATTTGAATTCTTTGCTACATAGTGTGCACGGAAATTGGACCGGATTTTCCTCATGTTCACTTCGCATATGTCGCGTGAGATGGCGCTGGTGCAGGTAGGTTTTCTCACAGCGGAAAAATGTGCATGGGAAACGAGACCGTTTCCTCGATCCATGCATGGCATCCATGTGCTTCCGTAAATTACCGGAAAAACACCCGATTACAAACATCGCAATTCGGACGTTCCCGGTTTGTATGATTTTTTATCACGTGGTTGGCCAAGGTGGCCGGATTCTTCAAAATTTTCCTGCAAATCTAATCAAAAATTTGTTTCTTGTTTAATTTATATAGTTAATAAACCTATAAATACCTCAATAAATAAATTGCAAACCTATAAATTACTTAATGGCTCACCTGACATTTCACTTTCGCATCAGGGTCATGCGTGACGACGTGTCTCTTGAAGGATTGCTTAACTGTGAACGTTTTCAAGCACTTCAAGCATTCCCATTTCTTCCCTGGTTTCGTATCCATTTAGATTTCGTTTCAGCGAGTTAAAATTTACACTCATTAAGATCGCTCTGAACTTTTTCTAAATACAAGTTTTACCACTACATCGTCGTATTCAAGACTGACTAATTACTAAATAAGTTTTATGAGTGAGTATTGGATCGACTGAAAAGGTAACATTTCTTAACCTCGGGCTCTAAATGAGTATGCAGGTGAAACATAAACGAACAGTTCAGTTTGTGAATTTTATAAGAATAACCAGCCAAGTTTTTAACGCGTGCTTTTTATATGCACTTTAAGAAGTAGTGTGTTGTCGACTTTCGGAGAATTTCGACCCTCACTACGGGCGGGCAACCGTTTATCATACATGCATGGGTAGGATTTGATATAAACCCTTCCATTGCCACATACATAAATATGTATGTACGTCCAGGTGGCAGGTATTGATATGTATATATGTACATATGTGTGTGAGGGCCAAAAGCATATATGTAGAATATGGATACCTATATGCCATGTACTACCGTGCCCACTGTATCAAAGTTCCTTTGATATAGTGTGCATCCTATAACAATTCATGTGCATATGAACATATGTATGTGTTATACATGTGCATATTTGCATAAATATACACATTGTGTACCTATATTTATTTCGATATTTGCAATCCAATTCTTAATGTTGAGAAATGAGCAACAACTTTTCAGATACCAACTTATCTTTGTTAATTTTCTAAAATCTTTTCAATACACAATGAGCTGCATGGTTTTCAAAATCTGTAATGTGTATGTGCATACGTCAAATATGTGAAAGTACATATGTAAGTGTTTAAAAAGTTGTACATACATAAGTTGGAAAAATTCTGTAAAACCCGATCCATTAACGAATTAAATTCCTACACATTTATCAAAGTGTAGGCACATACCTATGCTAAATTAATGAATATGTAAAACTATAATTGTACTCGGAATTTCTTCTCCAAAGTATGAATGGAGCCGCAGTGGCTGACCAAATTGTGAAAAGTGGCGAATTTCTTCCTGCAAAAGTAACATGCACGCTTTTTGGCATCATGTCGTCTTTTGGCACGTCATGGCTAAATACCACTTGGAGTGACTTCTGTACTCGCACTTGTCGCAAGAATGGATCTTCTCCTTGTTCGTGGGGTGCACCGCCTCCACGTGGCGGGTCAAATCACTGGAGCTCGAGTACATTTTTACACAAAATGTGCACCGATAATTCCTCCAATTTTCGTGAACAACCCGGACGTGCCGCTGTAAGCCAGCACTGCTAAGGAAAGTTATAGGACAAAGTTTGCACTTGAGAATTTCTCGCGCAGATTTTCCTAAATGTGTCACCTGAAAGATAAGTAAATAGATATACAGGGTGGTTGACATGTCTCGCTACAATGGAAAATTTGTCAACGGGCAAAATTCCTAAATTTCCATAAGTTACCAAAATCTCATCCTTGAAATTTTATAAATCTTACATGTTTAACCGTGCCTGGGACAGCGAATTTCTAAAAAATGATGTTAAGGACTCATTTTTTGAGAGAATAGAAAACGGATCCGTAATTCTGTGGAGAAACCCATTCCCCACATATTTACTGATCTATTTTCCACTCTGTACAAAAATGAGCCCTTAACATCATTCTTTATAAATTATTTTTGTGCCTGCGTCCTAAGCACCCTTAATTTAGTTTTGTAATTTTTTTTATTTTAAAAATTATTTCATGAATGTTCCTTCAGTTTTGATATTACTATTAGTAATTTCAAAAAATCTCAATCCCAAGTCCCCGTAAATAATGGAGATTTAGGGCTTTTCCGTTTGCAAGATAAGTTTAAGCCACATTGTACATTTTAATTTTTCATAAATTTTTCCCCTAGCTAATTAATTTACCTCGTGTTGTTTCAATTGCACCATTTGTGCCCTCTCCCACAAGTGACACAATTGTACGGTTTCTCGGTCGTGTGGGTAACAATGTGTTGCTCAAGGTGTGCCCTGCATTTGAATTCTTTCCCGCAAAGTGTGCACGGAAATCGGACCGGATTTTCGGCATGATCAGCTCTAACATGTTGCATAAGATGGCACTGCTTAAGGTAGGTTTTCTCACAGTCGGAAAATTTGCATGGGAAACGGGGTCGTTCCCCCGTGCTGTGCATGGAGTTCAAGTGCGTCCGTAGATAGTAGGAATTGGAAAACACACGATGACAAACGGGGCAATTTGGGCGAACCCGGTTGGTGTGAATATTTGTCACGTGAGCAGCCAAGGCGGCCGGGCTTTTGCTAAACTTCCCGCACACCTGCATAAATAAGCAAGATATTTTGGTGCTCTTAAGTTTATGTTAACGACCCAAGCTTCAATATAAAGCTCACCTCGCATTTCATCTTCGCCTCGGGATCATGCTTAGCGACATGTTGATTGAAGCTGTGCTTACTTTTTAATGTTTTTGGGCACTTGGGACATTCCCATTTCCTTTTTGAGTACAGGTCCATGTGGATTTCGTTATGGTGAATCAATCTAATTAAGATTTCCACTGGCTAAACAGCTTTGGATTTAGCTAACTCAAAATTCCAAATTTACAGATTTCACTCGACTGCCTCGTTGCCTTGTTGACTGTTTTATTACTAAAAAGAGTTCGAGTAGTGGATGGTGTGAGACACCAGGGGTAACTTTTTAAACTTAAGCTTACAGGTTGAACAGAAATGATGGCAAAGTTCACTTTGCCTTTTTTAATAAAATATTAATATCCAGCCACGTTAACTGTAGATATTTACATATATACATACATACATATGCATGTACATTGTCTTGGCATGTATATTGTCCGTTTTCAGGGAATTTCGACCCTCGCTCCAGGCGGTGCCGCAGGGTAGTACTTACATGCATGTAAAGGATACAAAGTGGACCGACTTCGAGTAAATATTATTTTTTATTTGGTATCTAATTATCCAATAAAGGTTACGAAATACAATATATTTAGCAATATGTTTACTAACATATATACGTATTTACGTAGACCAATATTTACACGAATTATTTCTTCTCCAAGGTATGCATTGAACCAAAGTGGGTAACCAAGTGTGGAAAAGTGACGAATTTTTTGGCACAAAAGTAACATTCATGCTTCTTAGGACCGTGCCATTTTTTGTGCTCTGCTAAATTCCGCTTTGAATGATTCCAGTACTCGCACTTGTCGCAGGAACGGATGTTCTCCCTGCTGGCGGAGTGCACGGCCTCACTTTACTGCTGGATGTCGAGTGCATTTTTACACAAAATGTGCACCGATAATTCCCCCGATCTTCATGGACAACTCGGACGTGCCGCTGTAAGCCAGCACTGCTAAAGAAAGTCTGCGGACAAAGTTTCAGTTCAGAACATCTTGGGTAGATTTGTCCAAATGGGTCACCTAAAAAATAAATATATGTATCAACTGATACGAGAAAACATAATGTAACAAAAAATGTTGCCACACACAGGTTTTAGTCTCCTTCTTATGCATCGCTAATCTCAGGGTCTGCTATGATGGCTATGGCGATTTGCAAAAATGGAAATTCTCGCTAATGGAGCCCGTCATAATTTCGTTTAAACTGACAATGGGATGACGCCAGCGGTCTCGCTCCGATTTCGATGAAGTGACGATAATTATGCAACCTTAGGTATGCTAATTGAACACGTGTTTCGGGATTTTTCATAATGCTCAGTTTCAACAAAGTTATGATGGTATAAGTGGCCGAAAATTCGCATTTTTCTTCTTCAAAAACAAAAATAGAATAACTTCAGGAGAGTGTATGAAGTAAGTATAACAATGCATCAGTTCACTTCTTTTAAAAAAAAATAACCAACCACCCGCTACATGTGTATCTAAAATATGTTGTCCACTTTCGGAGAATTTGGACCTTCACTCCAGGCGGTGGACCTTTTGTTTCATGCTACATAAAATCTACATTTACTGCGTAGGTGAAGCATTTGTTGTGAACCTTTCCTGTACCACCTCTGTCAAATCCATCGCATACTTCTTTTCAGTACTCGTTTATAGTTCAAGATCGTATTTCATATTGTGGTAATTTTTCTCATTCCTTAGATACAAGAAACAAATTTCCTAAGAAGGTATAATTCATCATATACAATTTAGCACTATAAATGCACATGCTTAAATGCCTCTGGAAATCATATAAAATGCAAATAGGAAACAACATTTACACAGACAAACGTTTGCCCCGTCATGCTCAACAATGACAAATGAAAATTATTAAGTACAATTTAGAAAGTTATGTTAACGAAAGTGAAATTTAAAAAGTATACAATTTGCAGAAGTATGGTTGTACATATTTATGTATGTAAAGCACTTTATGAAATATTGGTCAAGCGTGTCATGAAGAGTTTAATACACAATTGATTTGCTTTTAAACAATTTTCACGATAAATGGAAAGCGAATTTCCTCTAGAAATTTGTCACGTCATTATTTTTCAGTTATGCACAATTCGTATCTTGTCCAGTAATGTCATGGCAGCGTATGAATGAATGAAGCTTGACCTTAATTGCATCGTTTCGAAAACATGGGTAAAGTGATGTTCACTAATAAAATTTCCGTTTATTGAAATAAATCCAGTCACAACTTACTTAGGATTAGTGGCAGATTAATCATGATCAACGTCACAGTGGTAAATATATTGGTTAATTATTAACCAAATATTTACATCCCCACTAGCTCCACAAAAAAATAAGTAGAAAAATTACAAAGCACAATATAAAAGAATTGTGCAAATTTTCTGATAAGTATTTCTAGATCTATACATATATTTTTTATGAGACAACTTTTTAGCTAGGAGTGGGTTTTCATTTTAACTTTTTCGAAGTTCCTACACTTTGCCAAAGTATGTGGAAGCTTTGGAGGAAATGGGTGCCCTTAATAATAATTAGCAACTTCGTCCCATCGGAGGCCACAGTAGGTATTAGTAAGGAGAATGTCTCAGATTTCTACGAATACTTTAAAACCGAAAGAAATTTCACCCCAAGTTTTCAAACGATTAAAGGACCCGATGGGATTATAATTTTTTCAGCTTTCCTTATAAATTCAGGGTATGGATTTAGAATTTATTATTTTCACATATTTAAGATGTTGATTGTTTCCAGAAATGTGTAGGTTTTTTTTTGTTCTAGCGAGCTGCACTCAAAGACTGACAAAGTGATAATTATTGGTTTTGAGAAAAGGATTTCATTCAAAAGTCAAGTTTATTGTGAGTTTAACGAAGAAGTAGTGGGTGGTGGGAGGAGTCAAGCGAGCAGATTGTATGCCGCCGATAAGAATAAAAGTGTGGAGTACTGGTAAATATTCTTATTTAAATTATCTGGTAATCCACCTATTTCGTGTATATCATTCATTCATGCAAGAAATTGGTGCAGACAAGAAAAACAATTTTTTGTATCTTTTAATTTGCAATTTCGCATCATACATACGACATTAAGTATATACGCAAAATGCCTATTTTTAGTTCGGTAATCTTCGAATGTAACGTCCCACCGGAAGTTACGAACCCCAATTTCGTATCGCTTGTGAACTTGGAAAAAAATTCCGGGAAAATTCTGGAAGGTCGAGTGACCGACAATTCGGGGAGGATTAGGTACCCTCCTCCCACAAGACAGCCGAAATTTAAAGTTGCCGCCTGTATTAAACCGTTCTACACGGAGACTTGGACAGACACTAATCCGAGCGGGTTAATCGAGTGGATCGAATTTCAGAGGATGATGGGGGTGGAGCACTTCACGTTTTACAATATTTCCGGGCCGCCAGAGTTTAGAAAAGTGTTGGAAAGCTATGGAGGTAAATACACATATTTATATTTTTCATTTGGTGTTTAATTTTACAACTTTGTTCGACAATATTAATTGCGTATGTTTCTGAAAATTTTGGAGTTTAGATGTTAATGGGCCTGTGTATTTCAAAAGTTGGGATTATCCGAAGTTTTTAAAAAATTGCTTATATAGAAAAATTTAAATCTGTGTAGGGACCCAGATTGAAAAATTTACATGCATCTCGTGCCGACCTTAAATATTTGGAAGAGGATAGGTTCTTCTGGGATATTTTAATAGTTAATGGACGTGTTAACTTTAGTTATCAAATTTTGAAATTGTTCATTTTATAGAACCTCATACAATAATTATACAAATCCCGATTTACATATTAATCAATCTATGTAGACGAAATCTCCCTTCTCCCCTGGGACATCCCCTTCAAATCGGGGCGTGCGGTTGCCTCGCGTGGCCAGTACGGGCAAACGAACGACTGTTTATATCGCTACAAGGGCGTGGCACGATTCGTTTCTACGCTCGACTATGACGAATTCCTCATCCCGCGGGATCCAACCATCAACAATTACGCCAAACTATTTAGCAGAATTCTCCTCCGAAAGAGACTTCACGGTTTGAAAGTGTTTGAATTGAAATTTAAAGCCTTTTTCTCCTTCACTAATTGGATACCTCGTGAAGAAGCGGGAAAATTAAAAATGATGTCAATGACCCAGTTTCTTCCGAGTAATCAGTAAGATTTTTAACGTACGCTCTTAACAATAATGTTACCCTTTCGGAAAATAAGATGCGCTCTTAGTTCTTAATTATGCAAATTATCCTCAATCTAACATAAACTCTACTCTTTATCAAGCAAAGTTACTCTGGATTTAGTGTAATCTTGAAGTCAGAGTGCATTTATTTTTCAACGGGATAACATTATTTTTTAAAGTGTGAATCTTTTTCCGTTATATTTTGTTATTCATGTAGTAAATTTTTGTAAAGTGATTCGATTATTTTTAAATCGGAATATTTTTTATAGAACCAAATTTATCCAGATTGAAGAAAATTTAAAAGTGGCAGGAGTCCACAAAGGCACCCTTGGCGTACCCGGGTCAGTTTCATACAACGTCCCAGAATCCATCGGATATTACCTGCACTATCGCGGCTGCACTGAATTCTTTCTTAAAGAAAATCCAACCTTGTTAAATGGTGCAAATTGTTTAAATAATTACTCTAGTCGGGTTCAAAACACGGATGCCCGAAATCGATTTGGACCCCAATTAGAAAGTCGGGTTAATAGAAAAGTGACAATGCTGGTGGAATTGGGACATGTTGACAAGAAGTGGTTAAAAACCTTTAGTATTATTAAGAAGTAAAAAATTAATTTAAAGTTAATTGTGTTTTGGTTTCTACTAAATTGGGTACACAATGTAGAATACATAAATTTTGAGAAATCCAGTATTAAAATATTACCAAGCGGTATTCATGTTACTCTACCAAAGTTGTATTGGTAAGAAATACCGTGTTGTAAGTAATACTTAGTTCGGTGATGAAGTTTACGATACTGGTAGAAAATTTGTACTAACCGATATTAATGTGTTACCTATTGGCAGCCACTTTAACACCGCGAAATTATTACCTGACTGATGATTTATGCATACAGATTGTTAAACGTTGACTGTAAAATTATTAACAATTCGTAATTCAGATACTTGATCATGATCAAGTAATTTTCATGTGCATTGTGTACATGACATAAATAAATACGTACAATATAAATACAAATATATGTAGTGCGTACTCGTATTGCAGTGTAATGACACTTCCCAACTATTAAAATATTGCAGTGCAACAAATAATCCAATTTAGCAGTCACATAGACTCATGTATCAAAAGAAAAAGAGCTACGATCTTTGCTTATTAATAATTAAACGCAATTGTACTAAACTGTTTAGTAGAAAAAAGTGCAAAAATTTACGCCCAACGTGGGGCTCGAACCCACGACCCCGAGATTAAGAGTCTCGTGCTCTACCGACTGAGCTAGCCAGGCGTTACTTAAGCATGGTTTCTCTTTGCTCGTACTTGTCATCCAGCGAGGCGGTCGGGTTTCTTTCTCTTTTTTTTACCTTGCTCACCTGGATAAATAAATACATGAAACCGGTTTACATTGTCTCTCAATGAAAGCGATTAACGAGTTATTTGTAACAAGCACGGTAAAATTACAAAGGTTCGTAAAATTTTACACAAATCACCATTTTAAATAATACAAATTCGATAAAAATACTTACAAAATCTCTCGCTATTTTTTTTGCTACAAATTTTTAGACATTGCATGAATCATTTTCTTGAAATCTGTCTGATTAAGAATTTCGTCTCATATTATTTTGTAGTTCCTCCTTACGTTTTCAAAATTTTCGGACATTTTACAAATTACATTTTGATTTACCAACATGTTCACTGTTTTACGTTATAATTATCTATTAACAATTTTGCTTCTTTATAAGTGGAAAAATCTAAAAAATAAAATATGGTAAATTTCTCTAATTTATTATGAAATCATTCGTGGATTTTTTTAAAACTTTAAACCCGCATATGACCACTAACAATGCCAAATATCGAAAAATAGTGCTTCAGGATGGTCAGAAATTCGCCAAAAGTCACAAACAACTTTTATCCATATATGTACCTCTCACACTACATCGTGGCCAAGAATTATCTGACCACCCAAAAAAATCAGCAAACCCGTCCACAAAATTTGCTGAAACTTTTTTGTTACGGTGTTCTCGGACCTAATTTTTTGTGGCAATGTCACCCAGGCTAGTATCTTCATTTGTGGAAAAAATTATAAAAATAACCCCGCGTTTGGATAAACTAGAGGGATTTTCCTAAATTAGTCGAAAATTTTGAGTCCCTTAGCATACGGTCAAGTTGTGGAGGAACGGGTAGTAAATCGGCCAAGCTATTCATCTCAGACGACACACCACACCCACAGCCATACCCGAGAATCCTATTTTTAACGTAATTCAACGAAAATCCGTTAGTTCCACAAACATGTTTGAAGCGGTCTTAAATCTCAGATATCGATTTTGACGATTTTGGTGGAAAATCCGTAGTTCCATTATTCATAATCATGTAAAAACCAGCAAATGGGGTCATATAGCTTCCAGAACTCCACAACAAACCCTTTTTCGGACAAAAACAGTCAAGGTCAAGTTGATTTTGACCAGTTTCTTAATGAAAACGGCTATTTGACTGCTGGTGTAAAAAGCCATGAAATTTTGTGTACTCACACGACTGAAATGAATGGTCATCCTGTAGCGAATCCTTACTATATGAGGTACCGAATCGTGAATAGAAACGGGGTTCACGAAACGAAGGTTAGAAAAAAATGACTACCATTAATGGTTCGTATTTGGCTCTGTTCTCGAGGCGCTACTGAACTAGATGTCACTTTTGGTTGTCTAAATGTGGAAGGACCGTATTACCGTGACCACATCTGGTCAATGTACTTCTATACTATGGAGATTAAGCAACTTTTTCCAAATTCCAAATAAATTTCATATTAGCCGGATGGACTACCAGCCTACGCTTCAAATTCTACTACTTGCATTTTCGAGTGTCGGTCGTTTACCATCTTGGCAAAGGGGGTGTGGCTCGGAAACACTCCGGACACGAACCCAATTAAAAATTTATGGCCCTACCTTAAAAGTAAGGCGGTCTATGAAGAAGTTCCACGCGATAGTGCTTCCAAGATCTGACGTTATAAAAATGCTTGGAAAAAAATTCCCAAAACTCTTTTGGAAAATCGATCAGAAAATTTTGAGGAAAAAATATCGGGATATGCAAAATCGTCTGTAGGCCCCACAAGACATTAACTTATTACATACCGTAAGAGTTTTTGATAATAAAATGTTTTTTTTTGTGAAAATAACAATTGTTTGAGACTATGCCTACCCTGGTCAGATAATTTTTGGCCACGATGTACTTACTAGATTTACATATGCATATCTAAAATTTGCATATGCATAATACGACCACGTTTATGTACATACATATTGGACAATCTGTGTATACTGCTTGATCATGGAAATTTCTCCTCTTTCATCTTGTCTTCTTAACCCTTTTCTGTTGATACCCGATTCGGGCTGATCCGTTCGGCCTACTTCGCGAATCTCCAACTCGGCTCATGCACTTCCTCAACATCAACATCAACATTGCCAATTCTTGTTCCGATCAGCGGGTGGATTTTAGCATTGCATTGTCCAGTTGCGTCGTGGCTGAATAATCATGCAGATAAATACGCACTTGTTCCCTTCCCCTTATTAAATAATCGCTTCTCGCATCGTTTACTAATCTTTGAGCTGCATAATTAGTCATCTTCTCTAGAAAAAAATTAATGGACCTGCCATTTTGCAAAGAGCTTGCCTTGTCCAGTTTTTCTTGGACTTTTTGCTGGTAAGCTTTGCAAAATTTGTACTATTCATATTAAAACAGTGTTTAATGGATTCAAATTCAAGTGAAATTTTTAATTTGCAGACTAGTTTACCAGCCTGTTAAGGACTTACGTAAAAGCTAAACAATTCGAACAAGTGAGTTCTTGGAACCTGTGTTAATACAAATTAGTTAAATGTGTTTAAATTAGGCCTACTCACGTTAAATTCGCATTGGTATTTTGTATAGTACCTATTTTAGAAAATAGTGTGCGAAATTATATTGAAACAAAGTAATTTTATTTATAGCTAAATTTGCGAGTGCCAGTTCTCTCGAGTATAGATTTTTAGAAACTTTGCAATTTTTTATGTAATTGAATTATTTTGGATTTTATTTGTGAAATCTGTCCAAACAAATTTTGACGTGAGTACGCCCAACTTAAGTATTTGTGTGGGATTAATTTTTACCATGCATAAACAAGTTTCAGGCCGATCTTTTTAGACTTCCTATGCACATATGTAAATGCATACATGTGTGCAAAATATGGTCCTTTTCAATATCATCCATTATCACGCAAATTCCAACATTACAAAGTTCACATGCGTGGTGGGAAAAGTTTATAAATTCATAATTTTAGTAAATTTTTTCATGCTAAAGCCGAATAACTGGGAACGTAAATTTCACCAAGTTAATTAACTGTTTACATTTGTAAACTTTGCAAGAAAATAGAAGTCCTCACTTTTCTAAATCTTGCAGGTCTTGTACGTACACAGGCATATAATTTGTGAATTTAAATTTATATCCAAATTCCAGGATATTGAACCTTCATAAATGTTTAAAAAATGACTTCGTCATCACGTTCACGTCGTCAGGAACATGATACCTGTTTCCTTATCCAACTTCCTGACCTGGTAAGTAATTTCTTTATCTCTCTCTCACTCCCCCACAAAACCCAGAAAGAGCACTCTTAAAAATAATAGCACCGTTTGGAACAGTAAATGCAGTCTGAATTGTGCTATAAGTGAGCTGTACTAAATCCAGGGTAAACACTCTTCTTTATCAAGTTAACCTTACTTTGGATTTAGGTGTAGTTGACTAAGTCAACTTGACGTCATTTAGAATTTAGAGTGCATTTACATACTTTTCAAAATGGCAACACTATTTTTAAGAGTGCACAATATTTTTATTTAAATCAGGTCATTCATCAAATCCTCTCCTACTTTTCGCCACGAACCCTGCGCGTACTTCGTTTAACTTGTCGCACCACGAAATCCTGGGTCGACGGGTCACACAAGGTCGTCGCTCGTCTCCAAGTAACATTCCGGTCGGAAGAAGATGTCAATTCTGTTTTAGCGCCGCCTCCTCCCGGAACCACGCCCACTCGTTGGTCCAATTTCCGCTTCCTCCCGTCCCAGTTGTTCACAAGGCCGAAAGCGTTGCCAAAATTTGTCGCCACTTTTGCCCAAAATATTACCGCCTTTGACTTCTCCACGCTAACGATGGAGGACACTGTGGCGAGAAACAATGTTGTTGTGGATGTTCTTATGGCGGGCGAGAACATTCTTAAAATCAAGGTAATTTTGAATAATTGATTTTCATTAGTTCTGGATTTAGTGAAATAGAAAGATTTTACATGTTACAAATGCTGCGTAAAATTTTGAAATTGTGTATGAAATCTTTGCAAAAAATAGTGTATAAATTAGAACTCTCTACATATTTCCTCTAAAACGCTGGATAAAGTTGACCCCGATTTCTGCGCAGCATTTTTCCTCGATATAATGGTAAACTTTGTAAATATGTATGTACATTCATACCTACATATGTAAAGTTTGAGCATGTTTAAATCATCTTCGAGACTTTTTGTGAATTTTTGGAAGCTAAGAATTAGCAAACACAAATTTATTCATTTATTGTTTCAAACGAGAGAAAGCATTTCAGCATAATGCATACTCGTACACTTAACAAACTTCTTACAAATATCGCACCTCAAAACCAAATCAGCTTAAAATTCATTAAATTCAAATTTTAAAACGTGTTTATTATATTTATAAATTTGCAAACACAAAATTTTAAATACCCCTAAATTTCTCGATACAAGCGAGAGTACAATTTTGGTCAAATGTGAGAAAATACTTGTGTTAAAAATTTCCACAGATTTCCGAGCTATCCTGCTCTCGAATCTCTTCCAAGAAATATGGCGAACTTGGTGGTCTGCCCATCCTAATTCGAAACTGGCACTCGCTCCGCTCGCTCTCCATCCAGCACATCATCTGCCCCGATTATCACGGACTCGATTATTTTGCGCGGCTCCTGCTTGAGGGGTGTGGCTCCTCACTAGAACACCTCAATCCGCCCACGGTTGCTCTCTCCTCCCCGGAATATCTCTCTTTCAACTACAAGTTGTACTTCAAAAGGAACATCGTCACCCCCATCTTGCAAATCCTTCCGCGCCGCAAGCTCAAAATCGTGCACGTGCAAGAGCACCTGTTCGACGGCGACCCCACCCTTTTGTTCCACTTGGCAACATTATGTCTCACGTCGGGAGCGGTCTTGCATCCTGAAACGTTCCTCCCATTCTCAAGGTCAGACATTTTTGCAATTTTCTCCCCTTATTCAGACACAGTGGTGACACTTTACGTATCAATTTCTGAGTCAAGTAACAAAGTTTTTCGTAACCTTGTAGAATTACATAATATATGTACACGGAAGGTTTCCAGAGAAACTTCCAAGCAAACTTGCTTTGTTTTTTTATTTATTTGTAAATTTTTTTGCAAATTTCTACCCTCTTTTCAGATCCACCTTCATGTCTCTGCCACCTTCGCAATCTTACCTGTTCCACTCCATCGGCCGACTGTCCGGCATTACCGACTCGATCTTATCTCTCGCGCTGCGCGAACCTTTAAACAATCTTCACTTCCTTTCCGTCTCCTTCCGCTCCTTTTTCTTAACGGATGAGGTCTTATCCTCCGCACCCACACCGCTCTCCCTTCTGGTCCCTAACCTAGTCGAGGTGGAGATCGAGATGACCAACGACCCCCCGTGGGAAGGCCGGCCCCATAATTTGTCCGCCTTCATGCGCGCCTTGTGTTCACAAGAACATCCTTCCGTTCGTCGCCTCGTCCTCACCGAGGTGTCACGCGCAAATGACACGACCCTAATTCGCGCGCGGGACGTGGTCCAAGGTTTTCCAAGACTTACAGAGTTACGAATTAGCAACTGGGATGGAGGAAATGACGAGTTTTCCACCCTTTGGCGTGGTCTGCCTCACCTGGAAGAAGTGCACTTAAGGTTCTGTCACCACTTGGGCGACGAGGGTGTGGCGGATATGGTCAACTTAAAAGGTACCGAGTCTTAAGGAGGAATTTTAGTTCCGAAACAGATTAAGCACAAAAATCTACAGTGGATAAAGATTTCCAAACAAAATCCAAATGTCAAAAAAATCAAACAGAAAATTTTCGAAGAATGTTTGGCTTGTAAAACATTAAATGTTTTTTTTAAATATCTTCTTGTGGTTCTAGAAATTCTTTGAATTTTTTTGGAAATTTTTTTTTTAAATAATTATATCTTGTATAGAATATACAGGGTGGTTTAAATGTCAGGTTACAATGGAAAATTTTTCAATTGGAAAAATTCGCAAATCTCCATTAGCTACCGAAATTTTGCCTCTGAAATCCAATATTTTAAGAATTTTGTCATCAGTGTTCCATAAGTTTTGATAAAAATTAATAAAAATCTCAATCCCAAATCCGTAACTAATGAAAATTTACGAATATTTCCCATTGAAAAACTTTCCATTGTAACCTGACATTTAAACCCTGTACTAGAATACAAATTTGATAAAATATTTCTTACAATAAGAATAGCTTCCAACAAAGCTCTTCCAACTAAGCTCACAATTAAAGAAAAATTTGTTAAACTTTACTCAGAATTGCACACACTTTTGCTAAACGACGTCGGCCCCATAACGGATGCGAGTTATGTAAACGTCTTCCGTCACCTCGCCCTCCGATCGCTCTATCACTACTGTACCACCGGCTGCGTAAGTATTTATACAGAATTTGTAAAATTGCAAAAAAGTTGCAACAAAAATTTGTAACAAAATTTGCCAATTTTACAAAGAATAGAAGTTACCCCAGTACCAGTTCGATATGTACCATTACGTATTTACTCAAACGATTTTATAAACCCCTCCTCTTTAAAATTTAAATTTAGACAATTTTCAAATAGTAAAACATTTTCAAAAATGGCGACCATATATTTCATTGGAAACATGTCCAGCTTAAATTTTACATCAAATTTAATATAGCAATTTTTATCAAATTTAATAACCCATTGATTTCAAAATTTTGATCACAAAATCAAATTGATCAGACAAAATAATTTGCACAAAAACTAACTTTCTAAGCCTAAACTTTGGTAATTTTGCACAGTTGGTCACCCGAAAAGGCTACAATTCCTTGGCTTCGCCCCCATTCGTGACCTCCATTCGTGACCTTGCTCTCCAAAACCATGACGATTTTCGTACCCTGGATAAATTTTGTGAGTTTATTGCTCAATTTCCGTACCTGCGACCGCCCGAGTTCGATGAGCCGATGCGACGCCGCATTTCGCCGACGCCCGCCCTGCGCAATGATCCCCATACCTACCACGACCAGTACCAGTCATGCTGCAGAATTATGTAAACCCAGGAATAAATAAAAAACACCCCATGAAAATCTAAAATTCGCATGCATTACATATATATTACTTTTGCACTGTTGAGTATTGCACATTTTGCAAGTGTACGATTCAAACATATTTCAAGCTTTGGATAATAAAACAAGCAATGTTTTATTAAAATTGTTTAAAAAAATTGTGATATATTTATTTATACATATGTAAATGCATGAATATGCCAGCACACTTATTCATAATTCAATACGAGTCATTTCGTCCCATAAAGAGATGCATTTTTTCGACTAGTTGTCTCCTTCAGGTCAACAAATGTATGAATACTGTATGAAACTGGTTTAAGAAATATATGTGTATGCACGATACAAGGAGGATATGCACCCGTCCTTGCTCATGTACACACTTTTAAAAATCCAATAAAGTCACAAATGTTACATAGATAAATTTAGTCCTATTTGGGTAGTCAGTTCCTACCGCATCGCCCACGTTTTAGGTACATATTATCAGTAGTTGTTACTCAGTAGTAATTTATCGTTATCACAGCATTGCTGGACAGTAGTGCTCGTTATTACCGTACTTTTAGAGGCATACATACATGTATGTACTCGGACTGGTAATAATTTAATACCAGTTCTCTAAGAGTGTATCTACTTACGCAAAACGAAACTGACCTAAACCATTCTACTTTTGCTCATCAAGGAGATTCGCTTCCTTCTCAGTAGTCCATTTTTCCTTCTCGAATACTAGGATCGAGTTCTTGGAAAACTTACAAAATAATCCTTATACACCTTAACATTTACATATTTACTGAAAGGGGCCAGTTATGTAAAAATGGTAAATCCTTTTCATCGAGTACTAAATAATTACAATTTATTTTTTTAAATATTGATTTCTAGATGAGCTTTGTGACCTTGATTGGATCAAATTCTGTCACTTCTGTCAAACTTGAAATTGCGAATGCCATACTTCCATCCGGAACGATGCCCTTATCAAGGGAAGACTTGGTGGGCAAAATTGTTCTTAAATTTGAATATATGTAAGCAAGCTACAACTCTCTGAAAAAAACCAATGGGAACCTTGTACTTGGAAAAAATCGAAAATCTCGTCAGACGTCTTTTATCATTTACGGGGGATGGTACATAAGTCTCTGCAATAGTTTTTATGAGGAACTGAAAGTCGCCTGAACAACAACTAGGTTAATACATATGACACTAAACTCTTTAACAAAATGTCACTTGTTTACCAAAAATTTCATACGTATGTGATTTCATCAAATTTTTAACAGTAAATTGAAACTCATGGAGCCCCAATCAATACAATCATCTAGGGGTTACCCATGCAAAAATTTAGAATTAAGATTCTTACTCACTTTCGACATAAGCCAGATCAAGACCTGGTCAGATAATTTTGTCTCCACCTGTATTTCTACATAAGTTGTTCAAATACCATTTTTTCTTGAAAATATACCTATTTGTATTTCGAGAAATTTAATTACGGAATTTGTAAAGTGTGCAAGAAATTAATACTGCTCCTGAGTCGAAAGCATGATTACAGAAAATATTTACACTAAATAAGCAAACAACGATATGCATATTACTGTCGGTTAGTCCCTTAAAAGTAGAGCTGGAGAACCAACGTAGATATGCTCGAGTTTGGCCTTACTTTCTGACTCTGATAATCTATAATGTGCTTATGATTTAATGTGGAAACCGGCAGTAAAATAAAATCCATGCAAATTTGCAGACTTTAAAACCATGCCGCCCTTAACCATACGTGCATAAAGTAGTTATCTGCACACTGATAAAACTTACACAATTATTTACTTTACCTCACACATACCTTGGCACCACGACCACACCCTGTTCATACGTTTTGGTCGAGAGAAATTAGTCGTATTACGCTCCAACGTTGCATTGTACTTATTTACTAAATTCTTAGTGGGTTTCACAAAAACTGTAGAAAAATGGTGGAAATTAAAACCATCCCCATTATTGCAAAACTTGTCTGTCTGGTAAGAAATTTGCACACTTATAGATTTTATAGAAATACATGTAATTACATAATGTGTGTACACTCGGAATTGGTATTGATCTGGTAATAACTTCTTACTCGATTCGTAATATGTACCTGATTGTTTCTGAGTGGTCAGTTTTTTATTACCACAACATTGCTGAACCATAATGTTCATTATTACCAATATGTTAATATGCAGAGTCATATATGTAAATGTGTACTCCGGTGAGGACTAATTCAATACCAGTTTTCTAAGAGTATTTATAATAATATCAAATTTAGAATAGCTGGAATTTTCAAAATTGTTATGTGCAAAATTGATATGCACAAAATTGTTACATAGGTGATCCTCTTCATCGCACTGGTGGTTGGTTCTCACGCACATTTTAATAACGCCTGGACCAGATCGTGGGGAAATCCAGGATATCCGGAATATTGCAGATATGCTTTTCCAAACTGCCCAAGTTCTGCGGTTGGGATGGAGAAGACTTTTGTAGCGTTTACCATAATTATTTTTATTTTGTCAATTGTCAGCATTATCGCCGGATTTTTGGTTAAAGGGAAAAAATTTAGAATTGTGGTGAGTACCAAACTCTTAAAAATAATGTGATGCAAGCTATTTATGTATGTTAGTAAACTATGCTAAATCTGGAGTGACTATAACTCGATAAAGAGCAAAGTTTACTCAGGCTTTAGTGTCAATAGTTCACTTAACATGGAATTCAGGGTACATCTAGTTTTCGGAAGGGTTGCATTATTTTTAAGGGTGCCGAAATTAATTAAGACACAAATTTAAAAACAAATTCGTTGTGCTCGGATTTAAATGATTTATTCCCATCATGTCAATTAGGACACCGGATATCACGCCATTGCCGGATTACTTCTCATCATTTCGGGAATATTGATGATAGCAGCGGCAAACCAAATCGATTCTGCAAACGTTCCCGACCGTATACCGGAATTGATAAGAGACTCGTTACGAAAAGAATTTAAATATTCGAACAAATTGGCGGGAGGGGTAAGCTTTGTAATTTAAATTTGCATAAAACTAGTTATACATTCATGCATATATTTCTTCTAAATATTTCTTTACTTAAATAGTCGATGGCCGTAATTGACGGAGTCATTTATCTTGTCGCGGCTGGCTTAATTTTTAAATTTTAGCAAGTTACCTGACAACATTTTTAGACCTTTGTGAAATTACTTCCCATTTGCTTTCTACTGGTTAACTAATTAAGTGAGAAATAAATAGACACAAAATTTATGAAGTTTTCGCATGTCTTTATCGTTATTAATCAGACTTTTTCCTCCACAAATATGTTGTGCTTCAACAACATACATAATTATCTGCCCATCATATATAGTCTGATTTTTTTTAATATTAGACACTTGTACATGCAAAGCTTATGGTGAAGGAATTTGTGGCATGCTTGCCACCCTTTCTTCCCCATCTAATTTGTATTGAATTATCCCCCTTAATTTGTTCAGCCACTACGATGATAAGTTCCTCTTCAAACGTCATCATTAATTTATTATGTATCAATCTCATTACCAGTTCCAGAATGAACAAGTGTAGACTTATGTTTAGCAGCATTTTGACGGGAGTAGTTATATTATAATTAGGTATTTTGGTGTTTGCGGAAATTTTATGTTCTTGATAAGAGAATTTTTACTGCAATCATTCGGTATTCATTCACAATGGTAAGTCATAAGTATGTAAGTAGTTAGTCATAAATAATTGAGTTTTTAAAGTTGTTAAATTTTGTTACATTTGTAATGAAGGGGATTTAGTTCTAGAGAGTTGAAGTCAGTGGCCTTCGGCTATTTAGTTTATTTAAGTAGACGTCCGCATATCGACATCATAACGGTCAAGTTTCCGTCGACTATCTTATCACTTATTTATATAATAAAAATTGTCACAGTCAGAGCTAAGATAGAGTCTACAAAAAATATCCCGACGTGGCATAAAAGTTCTTAATGTAAATCTTTAAGAAAGGATATTATTCACAAATTCGGACCTCTAACAAAGTCGAAAGACATATTGAAATTTTAGAACTGTAAATCATAAGATACCAACGCGTTCACAGTGAGGTCAATAAATAAATTGGAAAGTCTCACATTCAGATTTTCATCCAGCGTCGCGAACACTATGCCACCAATACCAATCGGAATTTTCAATACAGGCAACCTCCGCACGTCCCTCAAGTACCACTGCCTCACTCCACACCGCATTCCAAGCAAAACATCAACCCCTTTGAACGACCTCCACAAGTCCATCACATTTTTAAATGCCCTGCCTGTCTTACTCAAAACCGTTTTCGCCAGCAAGAAGGTGAAACACCCTGCGAATACTGCGCACAGTAGCAAATACCCGGGCAACAAATGTCCCAACCTTACCGAAACAAATGTAATGGATACAAGACCAACGGTGGCGGCAAATATCTCCATTAATAAACTCACCTTTAACATACGTTCCACTGCTTGTATGCCTATTTGTAGTATCGTATAGTATGTAATGTGGCGGTGGAAGAGCCCGACTTGAATTCGCCGCTTATTATTTGTCACAATTTTTGATATAAGTCCAACAAGCGTGCCTGCAGTATAGATGCCGATATACATCGATCCATATGTAATCGCCATTACGCGTTCAGCTTCATAAAGTGCAAATGTCATCAACCAAAATCTTCCAATCACGATGCAAAGTCGGAGAAGGAAATCGCTATTTAATGCCAACGCGCGACCAAGAATGAATATTAGTGGGTATGAGGTCCTCGCATATTCTACAATGTAGAATTGTGGATCCAATCCGAGCACCATCACGACCACAGTGAATAATGGTGTGAAGAGGTATCCCGACCAGATCAAAAGTTTGAAACCAAATAGAATAAAGGCTTCAAGTGGTGTATCACTCTTACCCTTGTTGGGTACTCTTGTTGCTACAAATACGATAAATTACATAATTTAGCCTTTCATAATGTCCGTTTGGGCCTCATTTCGAAGTTTGTATGCAGAAGCTATCACAATTTTATTACACAACTGTTTAGCAATATCCTGGATTATTTGTATAAATAGATCCGTGCAAAATGGCTTACAACATAGTAAATCGACTTACCATTTTTTAAATCCAGTTCTAATTGCAGTATCGTGTTCGCCCAAAAAATTGAAGTCTCCTTCCCCTTCACTATGTATGTATGTATGTATTGGTGGGGTGACGATCCTACCATTGTTGGACAGGACCGTCAGCTGCGCAAGCACTAAGGCTTATTGCAGTCTCCCCGTATACACCGCTTTACTGAGCTAAGTCATGACTCTCACGATTTACAGATCTAACTTGACCTACAAACCGCCCTGATCTGATTATGAATTGAATTAGATCGGGCAGAGACATAGTCACTATTTGCTCTGGTGGCAACTCATGCCTCCCAAAGAGTTCTGACCTTAGGGCACAATACTTGTCGCAGGACCCAAGAAAATGAAATACAGTCTCAGGGCCACGGCCACATAGGCACATGGCCTCATCAACTAATCCCATTGTTCTGAGGTGCCCGTTTAAAGTACAGTGCCCGGTTAAGGTTTGTGTTACTGATCGGAGATTCTTCCGATTTAGGGTTAAAAGCTTACTGCTAAGCCCCGATGAAGGGGCAGAGAGAAAAGCTTTAGAAGTTAAACAACCCTTGCTGCATTCCCAAGATTTGGTATGCTGCAATCTTGCCCAGTTTACAATGCTGGAGATTACAGTGCTTCTGGATAGAGGAATAGAGGGCTGCGAGCCAAGGTACCCAGTAAGAGTACCTTCCTTGGCCAACAGCTCAGCCACTTCATTTCCTTCAAATCCATGGTGAGAAGGGATCCAATGAAGTGTTACCGTCTTAGTCTCCCCAATATGATTAAGCATCTCAATAGCCTGAGCAGTCAGTGATGAAACTGGCCATGGGCTAGTGAGCGCTTTGATGGCACCCTGACTGTCAATGAAGAAGTCAACGGTGCTATAGTTATGAGTATTGTCGGTCAACGTTTCAGAAGCCCTGATAATACCCATAATTTCTGCTTGGAAAACTGTGGGTGCCCATCCCAGAGGAATTGAGCACCTCACAGCTTCCTGAGCAAGATTGTTGTATGTGAAGTAGTAAGCCGCACCCGAACACTCACCCATCCGTGAACCGTCAGTAAAACAGTTCACGTCGGAGGCATTCATGGGCACGCTACCATCCTCCCAATCTTTCAGATTGGGAGGATCTCTCCCGAGTAGATAGAGGTTTCGAAGTTCCTCTCTGCTGGCGGATTAACAAGTTTCTCACACGGCATCTGGAATTCATCAATACCAGACGCCATGATTTCGACAAACTTGTTATGCTTTAACGCCCTCCTACGATCACCCCCGGCCCATTTTTTCCATTGGCCGTGGTGAGCGAGGCGATGGTACGTTCGTAGTGCAACTTGCTGAACCCGGATGTCCACTGGGACAAGTCCCAGTAGACACTCCAGGGCTGCAGTAGGAGTGCTAGACATTACACCGGTTGTACCAAGCATGGCACACCTCTGTACTCTTTGCAACTGGGCCATGTGGGACTTCACCTTTGTGGCCGGAGCCCACAAGAGTGACCCATATTCCATGGCCGGGCGAATTATGGATTTGTAGATCCAATTTGTAATTTTGGGGGAAAGACCCCAAGTTTTACCAATGGCCCTCCTGCACTGGGCCAGGGCACGCATACCTTTTAGTGCCCCAGCCCTGCACAGTGGGCCCCAGTTCAACTTGTGATCCAATAAGACCCCAAGATATCTTACCTGTTTTTGATAAGGGATGGGAATACCATCCAACTTAATCACAGGAGCAATGAATTTGTATTTCTTAGTGAATAGTACCAGGGCAAGCTTATCGTTGACTGACAAGCTCACCTCTTTGCACCAATCACTAACAAGATTTACTGCTCTCTGCACATGACTCCCCACTGTACCGAGGTCAATGCCCCGTCCCACTGTTGTGAGATCGTCGGCAAAGCCCTGTGAGTACAGTTGAGGGAACCGATGATGCAGTTTTTCCAGAATTTCACTTACGACCAGATCCCAGAGAAGCGGTGAGAGGACACCCCCTTGAGGGCACCCTCTCTCCACCACCCTCCCAATCTCGTAAGTATAATCAGTTACCCAAGTGGTTCGTGTCCGAAGCATGTGCTCAATATATCGAACACATACTTCGTTGACGCCAAACCTCCTAAGGCTACGGATAATGGTATCAGATCTAACCTCATTAAAAGCGCCCTTAACATCCAACATCACTGCAATACAGTACTCGCCAGAGTCAAGGGCCCCCTCAACAAGGCTAACGATCTGATGAAGGGCAGCCTCCGTGGAAACGCCCATCATATAGGCATACTGACTGTGTCTCTGCAGCCTATCAACAAGATCAGGCGTGCGGACCCAGCCATCTACCAGTTTCTCAAGTGTTTTGAGCAGGAAGGATGTTAAGCAGATGGGCCTCCAAGCGGACGCCCGTTCGTAACTCTCCTTTCCTGGCTTTGGTAAGAATACCACTCTGGACTCTCTCCACTTCAGAGGTGTATAACCAAAGGTCAGGCACCCCCTCATGAGAGGAACCAAATACGGAATTAACTCGGCTAACCCATGCTGTAAAAGGGCTGGAAAGATACCATCCTTTCCAGCCGCTTTTAGTGGGCCAAACGAGTTAATTATGTTACTGATTTTTGAAGATGTAATCATCAGATTTATAGATTCATCATCTACTTTACTATGATCAGGTTCCCATGGAACCCGTTGAGGGTCCCTCGGGAACGACTGGTCCAATAATAATTCATAGGTCTCAGAAAGGGTCCTGGTGTAAACACCTTCCCCTTCACTAGCCACAGATGATAAATACCAGCTCCACAAATTGAAATTACGACATAAATGACCACGCCCAAATTCGTATATCCATCCATGCCATTGGCGACTGTCGACCTACAATTGTAATCGCCCGCCCGCAAGCGTACACAATTCCGACCAGGGTCAACAACGGGAGCATTGTTTGCGCAGCGTTTAATGATCGCTTAACACTTGTCAGGTGTATTCTACCTTTCCTTACGCGAATGTTAATTGGCGGCTTATATAGAAACGGGTAATAGTCGAAGTACTTTTGCATGAGTAGCACCAGGTCGTAGTGCTTATCCATATTTTTTGGGCGAAAGAGTCCCAATTTCGTAATGAACTTAGCTTGTGGCGCGAATTTTTCCGCGGCAAGTACAAATTTTCCTGTGCTTCGAGGTACATTTACCAAAAAAAAATCAAAAATTTTATGCTGTATTTCAAATAAATTCATCAAGGATATTGCACATCTTTACACAACCGATTTATGCAAACTAGTGAAATTTCCTTCGAACTAAAATATTTCTTTAAAATTAGACGGTCTGATTAAACTTTCAGCAAATTAGATAATTCGGAATATTAAAAATTACCTTCTAGATAAATATTAGAAAATAATATTTATGTAGCTTCGTATGTAATTACAAAATTTGGTCGATAAATTTATAAAACATTTACATGGCTCCCCAACGATATGTCTCGCAGACAACATGTAAGCATACATTTGCCAGTCTAATCCTAATTTGTTTTTCTAAATAAATATCGCAACTTTCGATTCCAACCATATTAAGCTATCAGGTTTGCCACACAAGCAACCTTTTCTTTGCCGTCGAATATGTTAACTAACTAATTTAAGATCAATTTTCGATAAATATTCCAATTCCAAAATTGATGGTCGTATTCATTAACCTACGCTGAATGTATTTTCTGTGCTTGGCTAAAAGAAACTGGAATTAAGTCGATTTATAAATTTTTTCATGGCGTAGTTTTTTTTAAACATAGCACATCGAGGTAAATACACAAGTCGGAAAAACATTAAGAAATCTTCGTATTTATGTCATAATTATTAAGGGGTGAAAACCCCTTTACATAGTGGGGTCATAAGTTCTCGTGAATGCATTTCCGGTAATAAATCCCAAAGTATTAGAGCTATCTGTGCGAAATTTTTATGGATTAACAAGGTATTAATATTGTTTAGAAATCATAATTTCTTTGTCAAGATTTCGTCCACGGGCAATTAGACAAGACATAACTCGTGACGGCCACAGGTCGATCGTGGTACGCGCCAATTTTCGTGCCAAAAGTATTTAAGACTTTTCACCGTTGGCAAAAAATTTAATAGAAATAAAGGCCAGATATTTGTTGTACAGAAGTCTGACATCCGTTTAAGTATGCGGAAGTCAATACGAAGTCATCACCATGGTGTGAATGGGAGCAAGTTGGCTGGAGAAGTGAAATCTCTGTTTTTTACCGCAAAGGGTACAAGTTGAAGCCAAGAATTATTTTCAGAGTGTCCTAGAGACAAACGTTAATAACCTGAACCCTGGACCCTCCGAAAATCGCCATTGGACCTTTCAACAAGACTCTGCTCATGCGCAAGGTGCAAAATTCTCCAAAACTGGCTTCAGACGAATTTTCATGACTTTTTTTCATCCGTAGAACGGTGCTCAGTATCTGCAGACCTTAATCCCCTAAATTATGACTGGTGGTCAAAATTATAGGTACAAGTATGCTCTAAATTTCACCCAAGTGTGGAAGGGCTGAGGTCGCACTTACTGAAGATCTGGCGCTTTTCCCAGGAAATCCGTGCGTGCCGCGATCTAGCAGTTTTTGCCACGACTTATGTCTTGTGTACAAGCCCGTGGAGGAAATTGTGAAAACGAAGTTATGATTTCTAAACAAGATTAATACCTTGTTCATCCACAAAAATTTCTATCAGATAGCTCTAATACTTTGGGCTTTATCACCGGAAATGCATTCACGGGAACTTATGGTCGGACTATGTATGGAAATGTCTTGTCCGTCTGTCCGTCCGTCTGTATCCCCGATAACTTTAGAACGGATTCGAATTTCGACATCCGATTTTCGCCAACGTATTTCTAATTTTTGGGGAAGGGATGAGTTCGAAGATGGGCGTTGTAAGTCGTAAGGTCACGGCGCTACGTTGATGACCCCAACGGTCAAAGGTGTCGAATTTTTCGTTTCCACCGTTTTAGACGTATTTTTGGATGGGGATTTCAGAAGTCGCCATTATTTCAACGTGCGATGACCGTGTGACCATGTAGACGACGCCAAAGTCGAAAGTTGTAGATTTTTTTGATGCCACCGTTTTAGACTAATTTTTTGGCGGGGATTTCAGAAATCGCCATCATTTCGTCGTGCAACGACTCCATGACCGTGTGGGAGGTGTCGAATGTCGAAAAAATGACTTTTGTCATGTGGGGTGTCAATTGAAAGGTATTGTCGTGTACGTTTGAAGTACGCGGGTGGGGGTGTCAAAGGGGTAATGTGAGACAATGACGGGAAAGTGCAGAAAGACGTTGTGGGCGTGCCACAAAGACAATTCCGTGTGTTTTCACCCCTTTGCTACATTTCGTTTGCAACGGTTTATTAATACAAAGTTTACCTTTGGCTTTCAATAATTATTGATATTCGATCTACATAAATAATATTATTAATAAGCAAGGTCCCAAAAAATTGGAAATCTACGTATTTATAATCACAATTAATAAATAGACCTAAATTTGATAATTTTTGTGGCAAAGCTCTCAGTACTTCGCACGTTTAGAGACTTCGTATACAATAGGATTGTTTACAATTGTAATTCGGCTATTACATCTGGGAACTTTACATCCGCAAATAAAGAATTGCCAAAGTTCGAAAGCGCATTTACGTCGCTGAAAAATGTCAAATTTTATTTATTTTAAGGAATTTAAGCAGGCTTTCAGGGCAACTAACGTATGAAAAGTAATATAGTTACATATATTAGACTCCTTCCACCAATTCAAAGGTCTGATTAAACCTTTTTTCCTACATATTGGATAATTCGGAATTTTAACCATTGCATGAATACTATCCCAGTCGTACATATGTATGCATAAATAATATTGCTTATGTAACAAAGTGATTACCAAAGTTTCTCAATATATAGATTGATAAAATCTTTATTTTGTACACCAACGTTGTGGCCAATATCATTTGGGAGCAGGAGGTAGACAGTTATCTATTTGTCTCGGCTGTTTTTATCAAGAAATGAGCAATTCTTGATGCTATATAGTTTTTCAATTTTCATGTAAACATTGCAAACCAGCATCTCAAACCAAATAGACAACAACCTTTCTTGTGTCGTCATAAATTTTAAATATTTTCTTAATTTCAGTTTAAAAATCTCATTATATCGAGAAATCGTTAATTTAATCGTCCAATATAAGCTTTCTGGCATAAAGGATTTTCTTTACTTCTTTTCTAAAGCACTGTATAATTAAATGAATTTATTTATTTCGGGACATTATTTTCTTTAGAATGTCAAGATTTAACATCAAAGCAAATCGAAGAAATTAATACTAAATATTGGTAGATAAATATGATTCTGTATTGATCTTATTTATATTAATAAATTTTTTGACTTACTTGCATTTATATATGTATAGTAGAATTTAATACGATGAGACAAAACGAATTTGGACCAAATTCTATTATTTGTTTAACTGGCCCGAAGTCCTAACGGCATAGAAAATAATAATCTAGTTCAGGGTTAACTGAGACGGGCATATCTTTGCAGAGAAGCAATTATACGTATGGATGTATATTTATTTACTGCAACGCGAGATCTTTAGCTTTTCGAATCAATAATTGTAAAATGACAATATTCTGCATATTTGCACTTTCAATTCTCTGCGAATACAATTCTATACTTAAATGAATAAATAGTGTTTATTTACTCGTAATTTCCAAATTATATGTGTGTGAAAAATTTCTTTGAACTTATAAGAATTGTAATGATTTACTTTTTTAATTTTCACACCATTCAAACATACAAATGTGCAAACATTCCCAAAATTAGAACCGGCCCAAGTGACCCAATTTCCCTAATGCCCCCATTTTTGCAGGGTTCCGTCTCCCACGGAATTTCTGGCAAGTCGGCTACCGTTTCACCCCTCTTGAACGGCATTGTTACTTCCTGTCCAGCATCCAAGAAGTGAATCGTGTCGATATCTTCAAACTCTAGCGTCATCGTAATTGCTCCCCCATCCGTAGACCAGGTCATCATCCAGTAATCGGAATCCCACGACGTGACTGAAAATGTCGACGGTGACGTTCGGTTCAACCAGGCACGAAGAACTTTTCCATATTCAAAATGCAACTGTTGAACCCCGGCAGAATTGTTTTTCAAAGATAGTGTCAATTCACCTAGTAATTTGGGAGAATATGAAATTTTAAGTAGGTTAAAAATAGGCACAAAATTTAAATTACGTTACCATTAAGTCCACTTCCAAACGTCCCAACAGCTTCTTCCAATGAAATCTTAGGGGCAATTGATTTTTTTGCGGGATTGAAGGCCAGTACGTTTCTCAATCGCGTATTTTGGTCATCAAGCCTCAAACTAAGTGGAGTCGCTAACTTGTCTGGGAAGGTGCCCACTTCAGGCAATGTAACGTTTGCTGTAGGCAATTACATAATTAAGACAGGTTGAATATAATCAGAGCGTTAAATACATCCATTTAGTTCCTCAAAATACCTTGCAATACTTCAAAAATAGCATTATTCAGAAGTTCTTGTGTTAAAATCCTTAAATGACCAGGTCCGCTGCTGGTCATAAAAATCCCAAGCCCCAAATCGGGATAAAGATTCATCAAACTTGAAAACGGAGGGATATACCCGTCATGCCAGTTTTTTACCCATCCATCGTAAACCGTAATCACAAGACCTAGTCCGGCCCCTACTCCAGTATAGGGTACAGCATCGGGGTCTGCCTCTGTTTTGGCTATACCATAATATACCAAATTTGCTGGAGTTGATAACCATGACATTGCTTCCTAGTTAAGCAGAAATACATATTTCGTTAAAAAAATAAGTAGTCATTTATAGATTAAAACTGTTTTTTATTCTATTCCAACCTCCGATACGATTTGTTCCGTTCCAACCTTCCCTTTGTTTAAGTGGAACTGCATATACTTCGCCATGTCATTAGCAGAACTTAAAAGTCCACCGGCCGCATTTGCTACGATAAGGGTTCTGAAAGAGAAAATTATGTATGTATTTATATTTAATTTTACCAAGTTCGTGCTTTAGACAGTTGCATAAATATGTATCTGTACTTTAGTAATTCCGAATTGTATCGGATTAGTTGGTCATCCTTCCACAAGTATGGAAGGGCTCGTTGCATCATATTATCGTGATCGTCGGTTTCCTTGATTAACGTGGTGTCACTCATTCCGATAGAGGTTAAGAGACCGAGGAGCTAAATTTTGGTGGGAACCATTAATGGTTTTCTTCTATAAAGAAATACTCTGAACTCACCATTTCATCGTAAGTAGAATTTGCCATGTGAGCCATGATATGTCCGGCCATTCCGATAAGTCCGTTATTGTAGAGAAAACCATCCCTAAAACCACACCAGTCGGGAGCATAGCGTTGTCGGCTATAAAGTAAATCGCATCAATTACATACGTATCAATTGAACGAATTAAAAAAAACATAGAGAGACTGTCCTTAACATCGTGAATAAATTACAATAAGAAAACAGAGACAAGCTTCGCAAGCTAGTTACGACGGTTGCAAAATCTCGTAACCGTCTTAACTTCTTTTACAAAGCTAAGAAAACTAAGGATTATAAATTCATTTTAATCCTAAATTTCGCTCACTAGTAAAAATCCTTCTCATCGGTTAACGCTTGTACCCAAAATCCGGCCGATTCGGGTAGAGTGCACACCCTGTGTGCCAGCAAATCGCGAAAGGTAATCTTCTCAGAGCGGTATTTATCTCCCAGGATGAAACCGTAGTCAGGCGCCAGAACTTGAATCGGTACATCTAACACGGACCCTCCTAAAGTTGGATGGTTCTCGGACAAATATTTGACAACCAAAATGGCGGTAAAACTTTTCGTAATGGAGCCAATTGCAAAAAGTGTGTTATTATCGGCACTCAAATTATTTTCCCGGTCACGTAACCCGTATCCTGTGTTGTACGAGAGGTCCCCGTTTTTCTTGACGATTGATAACCCAAAGGCGGGAACGTGCTCGACCTCCATGACTGTAGCAACCAGAGAATCGATTCGTTCTTTCACGTGGGGTGGGATGACATTTTGTGCCGAACTTACGAAGATAATATTTCCAAAAAGTAACCAAAATAAATATGTTGCCTTGCCCATTTTTCGTATAAATTAATGTTAATCGTTGCACATCTAATTGCGAAGTGATATCCGTTACATTGCCTGCGTTCCACTTTTATTTCATTAAATATACTGCGTCATGTGTGGTACAGTTTAGTCATGTACAGTGTAATCGGGAATTATGTAAGTTTAATTAACTGATAAGCCAATTTTGGGTGGTCAGCTTAGGAAGGAACTTTCCAGAGGTGATGAAGCACAAGGGAAAAAAGGTGATTCATTTCATTAATTGCGTATGTAGGACATACATAAGTACATATTCTCGTCACGGTTTGGAGATTAGGTAAATGATGACTCTTGTTATTTAACACGACATAGAAAAATAAGGCCGACACAGTTATCTTTATCAGTACACAGAATAAATCAGATCGTGGATTGTGTTATTTTTAACAGACCATTGTTTTATCATGTTCTCATAAAGCCATATGAGGTACATAAATACGTAGTTTCGTAAATAAATTTGGAACATGCCAGAGGGGAATTTATATGATTGTGTACATATATAAGAAGTTTTTTGATCCAAAACTGTAAATATGACGGAAAGACCCTACAAGGACTTTGATTAATGTCCTTGTGATTAATGTGTGTCGTATTTTCCTGACTCACATCTCTGGAACAAGTCAACCAATATTTATAAGTCAGATTAAGTAACACCATTATCTAAATACATTAGTATCTTCGGAAGATAATAGCATGTAATGAGTAAGTTACAATAAACGTTTATGTAAATGTATAGATACATACATCAGACCGACATACATATTGTTATGTATGTATGTATGTATTTATGTAGTTATGAAGGAACGGTTGTGTTTTATGCCAGTTTACATTGGATTAATCATTGTGAAATTGCGTAAAACTACAATTTATACATAAAACACGTATTGCATAATATTTACTAAAGAAATATAGGTAAAATATTATAAAAGGTTGAATCTGTTGCATGGACTATGTACAGATGTTTTGTTACCTCGGCAACTCGGCTGTTGAAGACTGATAGCCTACTAAAAATAGTTTACCCTTCAATAAAAGGTTAACTCCGTTACACAAGGCCCAGTTTACGCCCACGTGATGCGGATACATGTCGTTGCTGCGAAGACGCATAAATGCTATTTCTACGAAGGACGATTTTCCTAGTTACAAAATTTTTGCCAAATTCACATGCATGTGCGAAACAGTAGATTGTCGACATCATGGGAATTCAGCATTCACTATGTACATGAATAAATATACTTCCAAGCACATTACAATACATACATTACAATGTTAAAATGCGACGAAAACATACGATAATTGAGCCAAAGCATTTTTGCAGTAAAATTAATTAAATGCTCATTAACTTTCACCTCAAACATTTCGGCAAATTTCAACCATTGGCTGCCTGAAGAAAAGTTGGTTGCATCGACATGAATTATATAATTTCAAAATTTCAACCAAATCCGAGTGTTACACTTGACACCATCACATTATTTGTACCTTACACTTTAGAAATGTGTACTTATTTATTAAAGTGCACCGAGATTTCCATCGCCGTTTACACACTTATTAACGCTTTTACCATATCACTCAATCAATCAATCTTCATTATCCTTTTCAACACGCACAATCTCCTCAATCCGTAATCGGCTCGAAGAGTACAAAGCGCACAAAGACAATCAATTGTCCTGCCATAAAAATCTCAACGTCGGTGCAAACCTGACTCACGGTCAGTTTTATTGATCATCAATTGTTTATGGTTTATCATAATTTATTCCGTTTTGTACTTTTGCGACATAAGCATTCCGCACCCGCCCGAAATCCATACCTCGTAGGTACATAAATTCCTACGTTTATATGGATAATCAAACAATTTTCTGTTAAAAATGTGTCAATTAACGAAATAAATTAATTTTAAATAGTGATAACTACCATATACATAGATATGCAGGCTATTACCCGTTTTCTACTTTGCGTTAATCAGTAAAATTTATTATTCACCTAATCAGCATGCCGAGAATGTTTCACAAACACAATAAATGCAATCAATCACCTTTTTTCTCCGTTTGCATCATCAATTTTCGCAAATTCCGTGTATAACTTTTTACCTGAAATTATGTAGCTTATCAGGTATTTATGACATTCAAATCCAGATTATACTTCTTGCCGATTAAACTGTATTATTTACTACGGAATAGATGCTCCAACAAATAGCCGCATACCTTCATAAAAGAGGAACGAAGTTCGTTTAATGATTACCACTTCACTCTTAAACGTGGAACGATTAACACATTAATTTTTTCGAATAATGGGGAACCCGAAATATTTATTTTGTTTCCTACTTGAAAATCTTGTTGTCATCACTTCTGCTCAGAATGTGATCCCACCCGAAGTACAAGAACGAATTGACTCCTTCGTGGCTAACTTAATGGAGGTCGAGCACGTTCCAGCCTTCGTGTTATCCATCGTTAAGAGAAATGGGGACCTCTTGTACAACACCGGATACGGGTTACGTGACCGGGAAAATAATCTGAATGCCGACGCTAACACATTGTTCTCAATTGCCTCCATTACAAAAAGTTTTACCGCCATTGTGGTCGCCATAAATATTTGTCGGAGGCCTTCCCAGACTTGGGAGAGTCCGTGTTAGATGTTCCAATTCAGATTCTGGCGCCTGACTACAATTTCATCCTGGGAGATAAATATCGCTCTGAGAAGGTCACATTTAGGGATTTGCTTGCACACAGGGTGTGCACTATGCCAGAATCTTTTTTAATTGGATCCGACGAAAAGGAATACTATTAGTGAGAAGGAATTTTAAAATTAAAATTTTAGTATCTTTTGATTGTTCTGTAATCAATATTATTTGCTGGAAATAGCCGACATCGCTATGCTCCAGAGTTGTGTGGATTTCGGGATGGTTATCACTACAATAACGGACTTTTCGCAATGGCCTCACATATAGTGGCACATTTGGCAAAGTCCACTTTTGACGAGATGGTGAGATACTAATATTTGTACATATGTAAGCATATTCTTAGAAATAAACCGACACAAAAGCTCATAACCCAAATAGCTTCAGGCAGGCTTTATCTCCAGCCAGTTTCTAAGGGTCATGTAATTTAACAAGCATATTTCATTAAGCAACAATCTCGTTTTACCCCTTGTGACACTAATTGAATAAGAGGAAGAAGTGTGGTATGGACCTCAGGATCAATTAAATGTGTCATCTGACGAATACAGAATTGAACAAATTTTCCTCATTCAAAAATTATTCTGCTTTTCGCGCGTCAAAGAATACCACACCCAATAAAGCCATTGGGTGCGGCAGCATGCTGAAGGGCTTGGGGTATGTTAGGTGGTGGGTTCAATTGACTTTATTGCAATAGATTGGCTCGTAAACCAATATATTGGTTTACGAGCCAATCTGTCTAGGGTTACATATGTAAATATATGGACGACACCACAATCCGGTTTTGATTATCTCCACGCGTTCTCAACCTATCATGCTGACGGATACATAGATGGACAAAGTTTTCGTATTGAATAGCTCAAGTTACTTAATAGTGTTACCATTTTGAATATTAAACTCACTCTCAGATCTATGTATAATACAAAATCCAGAGTAGCAATAACTAAAGAGTAAAGTTTATCCATATTGTTTTGAATCATATCTAGCTCACCGATCTCTTAACATCTATCGGAATGCGTGACACGACATTAATCAAGGAAACCGATGATCATGACAATATGGTGCAAAGAGCCCTTCCATACTTGTGGAAGGATAACCAACTTAACAACGATAACAACGATACAACTCCGAATTGTTAAAGTATTAATGCAAAATTGACGGATAAGTTTGACACACATACGTTGAAACGCACTTAATTTTTCTGTTTCAGGATGATTATCCTTATAAATTCGGCGGGTAGCATGTTAAGTTCTGCCAATGACATGGCCAAATACCTGCAATTCCGTTTAAATCTTGGGAAGGTTGGAACGACGCAAATCGTTTCTAAGGTACGACAAGAAGAACACATTTACACAAAAAAATATCTTATAGAGCTTTTCTACTTTTCCAAAATGTAGCATTATTTTAAACTTTTTTTATAAAATTTTCTCGTCTATTTACGGAAATATTTAGGAAGCAATGTCATGGCTAGCGATTCCAGCAAATTTATTATATTCCGGCATAACAAAAACAGAAACGGACCCTCACGCTGTGCCCTATACGCAAGTAGGAGTCGGTCTTGGTAATTTCGTGACGGTTTACGACGGTTGGTTTAAATTGTGGCAAAGTGGGGTTTTTCCCACGTTTGTAAGCTTGTCGAGTATGTACCCTGATTTGGGACTGGGGATTTTTACGTCAAGCAGTGGTCCAGGCTTGTTAAGGACAATAACTCAAGAACATCTGCATCACGCCATTGTTCATATATTGCAAGGTATGTATCAACAGAAGTAATGAACCTTTATACCAGAAACGTCTAAAATACGTTATTACCTACAGGAAACGGTACTTTGCCGGTTGGATTCTCCTTCCCAGATCAATTCTCAGAGATTGAACCTGATTTTAGTCCTCGACGTCAAAAAACGGTATTGGCCAACGTTTTTCCCTTCAGTTCACCCCAGAAAGAAAAGATTGTCCCCACGATTTTGTTGGAAGAAGCTGTCGGAACATTCGGAAATGGATTTAACGGTGATACTTATAATATTTAGTAATGTAAACCTTGCACCGATGTAAATCCATTTGATAGTTTCAAATTACCCCAAATGTCTAGGTGAATTGACACTATCTCTAAAAAATAATCCGTCCGGGATTCCACAGTTGTATCTCGAATGTGGAACATTTATTCGCGCCTGGTTAAACCAAACGTCACCGTCTGCCTTTTCTGTCACGTCGTGGGATTCCGACTACTGGATGATGATGTGGTCACTTTATGAGGGAGTAATTACGATGGCGCTGGAGTTTGGGGATATCGACACGATTCACCTGGTTGATGGTGGACAAGCAATAGCTGCACCATTTAGAAGGGGTGAGACACTAGAGGATCTACCAGAAATTCCATGGGAGACGGAC